CAGTCGAAGGAGTGCAACAGGGCGACTTTGGGGGGCCGGCGTGGTATGCGTGTGGGCTGCATGGGGTGCTGGAGAAGATCAGGACGGCGCTGCCTGACCGGCTGGTGGTCGCCTTCGCGGACAACATCTACATCGGCACGACGCAGGACAAGGTGGCGCACGACTTCGACGTGGCCGAGAACGAGCTGGCGATCGTGCGGCAGAACCTCGTGCGGGAGAAGTGCGAGGTGTGGGGCGAGCACTTCACCAAGGGCATGGACCGGCCGGCAAACATGCCCAGCGGTGTGTGCGTGCGCGACGAGGGGCTGCTGGTGCTGGGCTGCCCGTTCGGCACGTCGAAGTTTATGGAAGGGCACTTCGCCAAGGTGCTCAAGAAGACCCAGCACCTTATCGACAATCTGCCTCAGCTGGAAGACCCGCAGAGCGCCGAGAAGCTCCTCCGCTTCTGCGCCGCGCCGAAGTTCCACTACCACCTCCGCACCTCCCTCCCCTTCACCCGCCCCCTCGCTGAGGCGGCTGGCAAGCACTCCCGCGCCCTCATTCAGGCAGGCCGCCTGCACCCTCTTCTCCCTCGGCGACATCCAGACCAAGACCGTCCGTCAGCTCAAGCTGCCGCTGACTGAGGGGGGGTTCGGCCTCACCGATGCCCACCGCATCGCACCAGCAGCGTACTTCGGCGCAGGGGCGGTGGTGTTGGCTGATGTGCTCGCCCGCCACGAAGGCGCCGCCTGGATGCCGGTGCACGGACGCGCCGGGCTCGAGGCGCAGCCGTGGGTGCAAGCGATCCAGGCAGCGTATGACCACCTTCTCGCCCACTATCCCCCATCCCCCAATCCGACCCCCTACCTGACGTCCGCAGCCTCATGCTTCGCCCCGTCGGCGGCCTGCAGTCCAAGCTGACCCAGCGCATCCACCAGCAGGAGTCCGCCTCCCTGCAGGCAGCCCTGGACGCCATGCGTGACGCCGCCGGCCATCCGACGACCGACGGCGCCCGGCTGCAGAGCTGCAAAGGGCCCGGGGCGTCGGGCTGGCTGCAAGCTATCCCGTCCCGCCCTGAGACGACCATCTCCCCCGACGCCTTCGTGTGGAACGTGCAGTTCCAGCTCGGCCTGGTGAAGGGACCGACGACGTGTGGGGCGTGCACGAAGCCCTGCGACCCCCTCGGCGACCACATGCTCAAGTGCCTCAATCGCCGCTACCTCACCAGCCGACACAACACCGTCCAAGCGACCGTCTATCGCATCTGCAAGGAGGCCCGATGCCCCAGCGTGAAGACCGAGCAGCTTCTGCGTGACCACCAGTGCCCACTCCCGCAAACGACCGACAAACAGCGGATGGACCTGGTGCTAACTCAGCATGACGGCTCGAAGCTCATGGCTGACGTCACTGGCACTCACCCCACCCACGCCGACCGCCGAGGCGACCCCAGGAACCTCACCAACCAGCGACCCGGCTCGGCCCTTCGCGTGGCCGAGAAGCGCAAGAGGGACCAATACGCCGTCGCATGTGCACGGGGAGGGTACACGTTTCTGCCTCTGGCCTTCGAGTCGTATGGACGGTGGTCTTCGACTATGGAGACCTTTTTGCACAAGCTAGGCAAGGCAGTGAAGGAAGCTCACTACAGGGATGACAGGGATTTCTCGACGGGCCGTGTCGTGGCCCGATGGTGGGTTCTCTTGTCGTGTGCAGTCAGGCGGGAGTGTGCTCTTACGGTGCGCGGCAAGAGTGAGGCCGCCGCACCATTCATCCGCCCCTTCCCCAGAGACGAGGTCTGGGGGAGGGGCCCCTATTCACCCCATTAGGTCTTTTCCTTCCCACACTGTGCCTTCCATATGCCTATGCGTGTGTGTGTGTGTGTCTGCGTGTGAGTGTGGCCGTGGGCGTGGGTATGCGGGTGAAGTATTGGTATTCCTGCGTGTGTGTGTGTGTGTCTGGGTGGTGTGCGTGTGTGTAGGGGTGTGAGTGTGGATGTGGGCGTGGTCTGTGTGTGTGTCTTGCCGCCCTTCTACTTATCCCAGCGGTGATATGTGTATGGGCGTGGACTGGGGGGGTCTACGGGTCGGCCGCCTGCCGCCCCTCTCCGCCATGGAGAGTGGGGCGGCGGCGCGCTCTCATACACCCCCAGCACTCCGTGCGTGATTGTTATAAGGGCGTGTTTGTGTGTGACTGGGCGATCTGCACTGGCTGGCCACCTGGGGATGGGCGGTATCTACGTATGGAGTCATGGTGCAGGATGC